ACCAGAAGTGCACAACTATCTGTAGGCTGTAAAGATCCACTGTAAGGATGGGCAGGAATGGAGAAGAGAGAGAAGTCAAGGATAAAAACAGGCCCAAAGCTTGTAAAAGGAGGGCCATGCCAGGGATGGCTTTCCCAGGAGTGCATCATGAAGACAGGAAACACACAGGTGAGAAGACAGAGAAAGCTGAGGTCACCAGTGTTGGATCATTACCTAAGAGCAGTTCAGAATCTGAGGATCAAAACAGTCATTCCTGGACAGCTTCTTGGCTACTATTCTGTCTCTAGACAGGAGCTACTTGAAGCCATCACCAGATCACCTTAGGACACTGCCCAGAGGTGACATATACAAAAGGTGTCAGGCAAGTCTTGGAACCCACCCTCAGGCTGGAGCCCCCTGCTGCACAGGCTCTGTCTCTTGCTAGCACCTGCCCTGCAGCTACATCAGTCAGAAACTTTAGGTACTCATGGAGCTAAGCTTCTTGGGGATGTTCCAAGGCCTTTGCTTACCCTCCAAGGGGTGTCACCTCCATGTTTATATGTGAATGTTTGTGTAGGCACAGGGGTTTCATGGGTGGGTAACATGTATACATAGAAGCCATGGACAATGTTGGGCATCATTCCTTAGTTACCATCCACCTTGTTTGTTGAGAGGGTCTCTCACTGGTCTGAGGTCAAGAATTAGGTCAAGCAGGCCCAAGGGATCTTCCTGGCTTTGTTTCCCTAGCGATGCTAGAATTAAAGGTAAAAGCCATGTGTAGAGCCTTTTAAAGCTCTACTTTCTCCCTCATCCCACAAACACAATCACCATGAGGTGCCCAGTGATCTCCCCAAGAATACACAGATCTCAAAGCTGTTTACACCCAGCCCCCTATCTGATGCCCAGCAACATTCCCTCCCTTGGGTCCCCTGGTAGACTACAGGGTGTTTCCTCTGTTTGGGGAACTTTTTCCCATCTCCATTCCAACACGCTGGCAGTTGGCATTAATTACCTCCCTAAAGAAGCCTGACACCCTCCCACTATTCCTCCATCTCCAAGGCATAGAGTATCCTGTCACACTCCCACCTGGGTTCCCATGTGAGTATGCTCTAGTATGGACACTTCAGCAGCTTCCTGACATCCCATGCCTAAACACTCACCTTATCTAGCTGTCTTCTCTGCTATGTGCCAATGAAGTCACCTGTCTCCTGCTGATACCCAGGATCTACCAGTGTTGCTATCAAGATTCTAAACAACAGCTAAACGGCAGAGGGATAATCATTAGAAAACCCCATAAACAGAGAAGCTAGAAAGACCAAAGACTGGGCCTCTGATCCTAAGTAAGAGGCAACTAGCAAGGGAAGCCAGGGTAACACATGAGCAGCATGTGTCAAGGAAGGTCTGGTAGCTGCATGCTATGCCAGAAGTGTGATGGAAGGTCCTCTTGGTGCTAAACAGGAAGTGGTACAATCAGCTTTGTGCAGAGACTGGCAGTTTCTGGGGACAGTTGTATAGGTTCAGGGTGGATATGGGGAGCTCAAGAAAGAAGCCAATGCGCAAAGTGGTCCAGGTGAAAACAGATGGTCATCTGGAGGAAGTGATGGCTTTGGGGATCAAGTGGTCCCATTAACACAGGGAAGCCTAGAGAGTAAGGGAGCCAGAGGTATGACAGCCACTAGCTTATGGTGCTAGTGGAAGAAGGGACTGTGGTTGAGGAGCTCCTTCAGTGTCTGGCCACTCTGGCTTTACAGTGTCCATTACAGCTACTGATGAGGAAACTGAAGCTTGCTCCAATCATAAGCCCTGTGGTCTCGAGCAAGATACTGGCTTTCAGGGTCTGTTCACAGCCACCTACCTACCTGACACCTGACAGCACAGGTAAGGAGGACCTGTCTGTGGTGAAAGGGAAGCTGCCTTAAGCTAGGGAAGCCTGGGCTTCTCAAGAGACAGGATGAGTCATTGTGATAATTGAATTTTTGAGTTAGACTTAAAATACAGCCAAGATTGAAGAGGCAATCTGGCAGGGCCAGGTTCCTGAAGGCAGGCTTCTTGGCCTACACAATACTGAGACCTTATTAACAAGATCACTCTTTCTGCTTTCAAGGGACATTTATAAGCAGTTCTCAAGGCTGCTGTGTCAAGGAATTCAATTGTGGGTCTCTGAGCCCCTGCCTTGGCCACTGATGACATTGCACCAGAAAAGTATGGGAAGAAAGGCTCATAAAACAGAGCAATGGCTACTTTTTTTTTTTAAACAACACACAACTCTTTTCAGAGACAGACACAGACTGCAGGATCATTCAGAGAGCAGGTTCAGAAGACTCAGTTTTCTCTGTGGTGGGAGAAAACTGTGCAGGGAGATGCAAATAAAGGAGGTGTCTGACAGAGAGCTACTGCACCTTGGGCTTCAGGGTGGGGCAGACCAAGAGTGTGTGGATATTAGAAAGACTCTGAAGGCCACTACCAAGGTAAAGAGGGCAGGAGACCCAGACCGTCCCCTTTGTCTCACTATATATTTAGCCTCTGCACCTGGGTCTCTCAGGTACAGCTGCTCAGGCACACGTGGTGATTAATTTCACCAACGGAAAATTGACTTTTTTTTTTTTTATTACTGCATCACAGCCTCCTGAATTCAGCTGCTGGTAAAATTAACTCACAAGGGACAATGAAGCATTTTCCAAGGTCCAAATTTGCAGATTGTTCTTGGCCCGCATCCAGCCAAAACAAATGCGAATGCTCCCCCACCTCCCAGATGAAGGAGGGTCTCTCCTAGCCAAAGTCTGGGAGTATTTTAGGCTAAAGAATAACATCACAATTGCTTTGGATAATTGTGTTACTCAAAAATTGTGGGAGACCTGAAGTGAGGTAGCCCTGGGCTCCCAGAGATTCAGCTAGGCATCACCTGCCCCCAGGCAACCTAGGTTTAGTGGAGTTCCAAAATCCTAGTTCATGTCTATGCCAATGACCAAGCTAGGCTTCCATGGGCAATGTACTAAGCATGTACCAGTCAAGGTAATGCTATTCACCACGGATACACCTGAACTCAGGCTTATTATCTCGCCTGGCTAAGTGTTCCCCATGAGCCTGTACCAAAGCACTGCTCACACATACACTTTTGCACATCTGACATAGGCACTCCAGACAACACTTCTACAACTAGCCCAGAGCCAGCCACTGAGAGACTGAAGAAGAGGTGCTGATTTAGGACAAGAACCTTGCAGTTCAGCTAACTTCAATTTCTGCAGCTTAAGACAGCAGGGCTTGGCAGACAGGTAACTCTCACTGAACAGGTTGCAAACAGGACAACAGCATGTGGCTAGGGACTAGAGGCCAGGTCTGCTGCTCTCGGCAGGAAAGTTTCTTCTCAGAAAAAAGGGTAAACTGTGGAACAAGGAACCCCACATCAAGGAGTACCTAAATCTGCTTTTCACACAGTAGTACATCAGAAAATGATGCAGCTGTACAGAAAAGAATATAAGTGACAGAAGAGGTTGGCCCAGCTGAGGAGACCAGAGAGCAGGCACTTGGGCTTCAACTGTCTGGCTAAGCAGTTGAGGCCCCTGACAGCTGCCTTATTGGGTAGCTGAGTGGCAGCAGGGAAAGCCAGTCTGGAATCTGGAAGAAGGTATATAAAGAAGGGATACGAAGGGCAATTTCAACTGCCAGCATAGGCAACATACTCTCTGTGTGTATGTGCATGTGTGTGTGCATGCGTGTGCTTACGTGTGTGAACTTGGCATTAAATGTGGACACATGGTGCTCTCCAAGGGCTCAGGGAGGATTAGCAAATAGGAGTGTCCCAGCACAGACTGAAAGGGGGCCAAAGAGAAAAATCAATGTCCAGAATCAGGAGTCTGACCATTCCGGTATGGGAAAAGATTTCTGAAGGACCACCCAAAGCTGGCTAGGAAAAAAAAGGCAGGGAAAAAAAAAGGCAGCTGACCCTGAGAAGAACAGCAGGGGCATCTTAGGCCGAGGCAGTCAGCTGGAAGCAAAGAGGTAAGAAGAAAAAAGAGAAAAATGTGGTAGCAGCCAAACTTGGAGGCACTGTGATCCCTGCTAGGGGCCTGGCCTGGATGCACAGAACAATGGTAGCCACCAACATGGGCAGTTGGGGAAGTGACTGGTCAAATACATCGTTTGCCTCTGCACCTTGGCTGCTTTAGGGAGAGGAGGGAGAAGACTCAAGAAAAGAAACCAAAGACTAGAAAGGGAAAGGCAGAGAGGTCAGAGCAGAAGAGATGAAGTAGCATGCAATGTGAAAGGATGGGAGATGATACGAAGCAACAGGTCAGCATGATGGACTCCCGCAGGAAAGAAAAGTCAACTATAAAGAGGGCTAAGCCAGGCTTTGTTTAATGCTCAGGAACCTATGAAGCTCAGTAGAAGTCTAAGAACAGTTAAACACAAAAGTCAGTGACAGGGCTGCAGCAGCTAGTACATCAGGCAGCAACAAAGACAGCAGAGCTACACAGGGGACTAGCATAACAAAGTGGTGCAAAAGCTAAGTCCCAGGCTCCAGGCCTCACAACTTCAGCTTAGGGCAGGCTGTGAGGAACTGAGGACCTGGCTGGAGAGGCATAGTGCCATAGCAACCCCACATGGATTCTCTCTGGATCCTGAAGTGGGCTTAGGAGCAAGTGCGATGTGAGGGTCATGTGGCTCCCAAGACAATGGTGTATATTAAAAGGGAGTTTAGGACCTGGGTTTTGAGGCTCCACCCAGAATCATACATCTGAAAAGGAATGAACCATTTAAGGGGAATCCTCTAACTGCAGTGTTGGCTGAAAGCTGAGTTCTCAGACCTGAGGGTGGATGTGACGCTCTCCAGTGTGCAGGGTGCTCCAGGTCAATGATGGCACCCAGAGCTCAAGGCCTTTCTAGTGCCTGACTGCAGAGCCATAGAACCTTTGAAACAACAACTCTCACAGAGATCCCAGCACATCACCACACTTCTTCTTGCTGGCAGCCTTTGCATCCCTCACCACCATGAACCACAGGGAGGACAGACTCAAGTGATCTCAGGACCACAAGCTTTATTAGCTGAAAGCTCTCCTCACAAGCCAGGTCTGCTGGGACTGGAAGTTTCTGGATGGGCAGCCGCCCTAGGTCTGAGCTAGAAAAGAGAAAAGGAAGAGAGAGAATATTAGGTCATGAAGTTTCTGAAGTGAGATCCCTGACAGAGTTAAAAGTGAGGTGCTATTTTAAAACTTCTTTCAAAGACAGTTTGATCAGTAAACATCAGAACAAAATGACCATGAGCACATACTGCATTCACTTATTCACTCATTCATTTATTCCAGAAAGACTACACAGATGCCTCTGTGTGGGCTGCTGTTTGCTGTACTTCACCCTGCTGAAACAGCACTGAAACAGAGAAACCACTGAGGACAGGTGTGAGAGAACAGAACTTTTCACACTCTTCGAGATGAAAACCACAGCTGCTTGCGGAGGAGTGTAACCCTTGGTCCCAAATTCGACTTTATTCTTAAGGAAAACAAACAAACAAACAAAAAACAGTCTGGACCTTTCCAACCCCTAGTAACCCAAAGCATTCAGTGCAAACAACTCAGGGGCCATTACCTCCAGGTTTCCCCTGGCCTTCCGAAGGACTTGGTGGGTGATGATCACTGAAGAGAAAGCACAGAACAGAACAATTAGAGCCACAAAACAGTAGAACGAAATCAGAGCCAGTGAGCAGGAAGCCTCGACCCAGACAACTGTACAACTTCTGAGGGTCCTAACCAGGCTCATATCACCAGGCTCATGTTTGATCACATGATCCTCAGCTGGAGGTACTGTTTTATTTTAGTCCTAGTGTCGTTTATGCTGCTGTGACAAAATATTCTGGCAAAAGCACCATAGTGAAGGGTTTACTTTAGCTCGAAAGTCTAGATTACATTCTACCACTGTGACCATCAAGGCAGCAGGTACCTGAGACAGCTAGACACATCCATCCACAGTCAAGAGCAGAGAAGCATGCATTTTTGGCTTGCTTGCTTGTGTTCAGCTCAATTTCTCTACTCTTACCTGTGCAGAATCCTCCTGCCCAGGGAACGGCTGAGTCTTCCTACATCAATTAACTTTAGTAAGACAACTCCCTACAGACATGCCCACAGGCAAACCCAATGCAGACAATCCCTCATTGAGACTCTCTTTCCAGGTGATTTTAGGTTGTGTCACATTCACAGTTAAAGATGACCATCATAAAATTTGCAGGCAAATGGTAGGATCTAGAAAAGATCATACTGAGTGAGGTATCCCAGAAGCAGAAAGACACACACAGTATATACTTACTTATAAGTGGATATTAGACATATAATATAGGATAAACATACTAAAACCTGTATATATAAAGAAGCTAATCAAGAAGGAGGACCCTGGGTAAGATGATCAATACTCACTCAGACAAACAGGATGGAAGAAGGAGGAAACAGGAAACAGGACAGGAGCCTACAACAAAGGGCCTCTGAAAGACTCTACCCAGCAGGGTATCAAAGCAGATGCTGAGACTCATAACCAAACTTTGGGCAGAGTGCTGGTAATCATATGAAATAAGGAGGAGTTAGTAAGACCTGGAGAGGACAGGAGCTCCACAAGAAGAGCAACAGAACCAAAAAATCTGGGCACAGGAGTCTTTTCTGACACTGATACTCCAACCAAGACCAGACATGGATATAACCTAGAACCCCTGTACAGATGTAGGCCATGGTTGCTCAGTATCTAAGTGGGTTCCCTAGTAAGGAAAACAGGGACTGTCTCTGACATGAACTCAGTGGCTGGCTCTTTGACCACCACCACCCTCCTGAGTGGGGAGCAGCCTTGCCAGGCCACAGAGGAGGACACTGCAGCCAGTCCTGATGAGACCTGATAGGCTAGGGTCAGATGGAAGGGGAGGAGGACCTCCCCTATCAGTGGACTTGGAGAGGGGAATGGGAGGAGATGAAAGAGGGAGGGAGTTGGGAGGGAATGAGGAAGGGGGTTACAGCTGGGATACAAAGTGAATAAAATGCAATTAATGTAAAAATAAACAAAATTAATTAAGAAAAAAAAGATGACCATCATAGAGAGTTATGATACCTTTGGGACCAAGGCCTAGTTAGCAGAAGTGGCCTGCTAAGCCAAGACTTAAAAAGATAAGTATTTCTGATTGTGGCCCACACTCTAGACTTTCTGATCCATTAAGACATGAATAAGCTATACGCTCCCACTACCTAGACTGTGCTGTTCCCATATGCATTCCCCAGCATGATGAACCATATACATCCAAACTATGAGCCAAAAGAAATCCATCCTCCCAAGTGGCTTCTCTCATTTATTTTTGTCACAGCAATGAGTGACTAACACAACAGCCCTGAAGCATCCAGGCCACAGAGAAGTATGAGGGTCTCACTTGTTCCTTCTCAACCCTCAGAGCCAAATAACCTATCAGGGTGGGCTATAGACAACACTTCAAGTCCTCACAGGGCCCCAAATGGAAGAGTATGCATACATTCTATTTTTCAGAGTTAATGCGGGGCTCTGAATGGGCACCTGGAACCCCTGCTGCAGGTTGGAAAAAAAAAATGGTGGTGCTGGGCAGCGTAGAGGGCAGGATTTCACGGTGTCCAGCTTCCTCTGGTGTCCTGGGCCATCTGGGAAGCAGTGTGAGAAACAAGCCCACACTTGGAGACCTGCGCCAAGTGTCCAGGGAAGTCCTGTGAAAGCAGAGTTTTACCCTGCCTTCCTGCAAGCATGTTTCAGGGTATTTTGTCGTCTGCCCTTCAGCTCAGGTGCATTCTGTCTAAACAGGAGTGTATTAATGGGTGAGTGCTGAGGCTCCTGCTTGCTAACATGTGAGCAGTGTTGGACTCTGGAAAGAACAGGAGAGCCTACCATTCAGGAGCAACCATGCACAAAACTGCTTTCTTCCATAGTCCTTTCTTGCCCAGCACACACTAAACAGTGAGAGAAAGATCAGGTTTTTGAGCCTGATTGGGAATCTAGAGGCAGAACACTTGGGAGGCTGAGAAGCAGGAGAATTGTCATGAGTTTGAAGCCTGCTTAGGCTCGAAGAGTTAAAAAAAAGAATCCATTCTTAGCTCAGGCTGGACCCGGTGAGATCCAGGAAGTACACTCTTCTCAGAATCCACTAAGCCCTTGGCTCGTGCTTGCTGAGGCCACCTGTGACTCATGCCCAGCACATGGCCTGCTGCCCGCTTACTCAGAATAACTGTTCTGTGGCTGCCTGGAAGAAATATTTTTTCTTGCTTCACCAAAAATTCTATCTGGAGACAGAGAGGTCAACAGACAAGAGTAGGCCTCATTTTTATTTGAGTAAAGAGGGTCACAGGTATTCCCTGCCTCTCTATGCCTCCTCCTCACCCCTGGCTGCAGGGTTCACCGTGTGACCTAGGAAGCCCAATATATCAGCATATAATTCTGGTGTGGATAAGGATTTGTGAGTTTTTCTGGGCAGAGACTATCACTTTCTCAAGATTCATCAAGGGGCCTGTGACCCACAAAAGGTGCTCATGGCATGGAGGTTAAAAATAATCTTGAAAGAACACTGAATGTTCCAAGTGAGCTGAGCACATCATAGCGCTAGGAATCCGCAGGTCCAAGTTTTGAAGTTTCTCTTACATCTAAACAGGTACACCACCCATGTTCCCACACTCAGAAATCCCTGCTGTGATGAGAAGACAAGGTTCAGAGTGATAAAGAATGTATGCCAAAGCAGACTGACCTCAGTGTAGAGTAAAGCACATACCTGGACTACCTAGCTTAGTCCAGGGCTCTCCCACACCACCAGAGACTGGAAAGAAAAAAAGAAAAATGGAGGGCCTGCCTGGCCCCATGGCAGGTACTGATTCATTGATGACCCCAATCCTGTGAGAGAGGATTACTACACTTAGTTGGCAAAGAAGGACCTGAAGCATAGAAGTGAAGTGGGCAGTGCCAGGCCACGTGACTCAAGAGTGGTAAGGTCCCAGGTTCCCAGGTCTCACCCTTTCTCAGCCCTCTCCTACAGATTCTGAGAGGAAGTAGTGTCAGTGTAAGCACTGAAGGGCAAGCCCTGGATCTTTCTCATCCCTGTCCCTATGTGGAGGAAGTAGGGTAGGGGACAGCATGTCAATGTCACTCTGTCAGTTCAAAATTAGGAACAGACCTGGCAGGCTGAAGGGCTTAGGAATATCCACAGACTTACTGAAAAGAGAAACGAAAATCTTTGGGGCACCTGTTCTGTCCTCCACACTGGTGACATCACTCTCCTAACTCTATATATGCAATTATAACTAGCACCCAGAGCCCTGTGGCCAACGGTGTTTAAAAAGACTGTCTGTTCAGAGAGGAGGAGCCTGGAACCCAGAGTCAGAGCCACTGAATGCATATCACACAGGAGGGCAAAGCTGAGACCGGGGTGCATTCCCAGTTCTCTGACCCAGGATGTGGCATGGCATGGTTCTAGCTTCTGGATCTACCACAGTAGAGTTACCCACCATCTAAGCTGAATTCTGCCAGCCCCTGAAATTCCTCATCCCAAACCAGGATCAGCACCAAGAGCCTTGTGGCTGTTCAGGAACTTGGGCCAAAGCCCTACTCCCTGGACTCTGGCTACATGAAGCACCACCTCTTAACCCTGAATCCCCAGGAATCTGGCCCAAATGTTCCATAGCACCTGAGCATGCCTACAACTGACACTGTCACCCACATCTCTGAGGGCTCCTCTTGTCCATAAGTCCCTCATCAGTAAGACCCACAATATCCTGTCTGTTGGGCAATCACCTGTTTTTCAAATTTATCCGTCCTCCACAGCCCTGCCTGCTGGAAGGGCTTTTATAGATCTCCTACACCTTATAATGTCTCCATGCTCTGCCATGATATTCTGATACACAAATGGACCACAGCAAACCCTGGTACTCCTCCTTGACCCCGACCCACAAGCCTCTGTTATGGCTTGGGCATGAAATGCTCTTTATGGACTCCTGTGTTTAAACACTCAGTTCCCAATTGGTGGGACCATTTGGAGAGGTCATAGAGTAAGGCCTTGCTGGTATGAACAGGATGTTGGGTTTAGGCCTTCAGGATGATATCGTGGTCTCTTTAATTCCCTGCCTTTTGTCTTGTCGCAAAATGTGACTAGCCACCTCATGCTACTATTCCCACATATAGGACCAGACCCCACCACCATGGCCCCACTATGATTAACTTCACACTCTCTAAACTGTTAGAACAAACTTGTCCTCCTTTAAGTTGCTTCTGTTAGGGATTGTAGCACATGTCAAGAAACCTAACCAATATACACTGTTGCTCAAATGATAGCCTTGGCATATCTTCAGGATGCCTAGAACACTCACTGCTCTGTTGCCTCTGGAATCCTCACAGTTCTGGAGGAATCTTGTTCCTGCTGCTCTGTTGTCTGACTGACATCCCTCAGAGCCAATCAAATTTTATCTTGAATCAAAGCCTCACACCACCTTTCAGGCTGTCTCAGGCAGGCCCTCAGTTTATAATCCTGAAGCTTTATGTTCCCTCATCCCTCAGAGAGCCCAAGCTCCTTGATGACAGAAACTATTGTTCCCTTGTCCTCACAGCCTGTGAATGGGATACCAGAGAGGAACCCATTGCCTGGTCATAACTGATCTCATTCATCTACAGTTCAAACCCTTACTAATATCAAAGTCTTTTTCAGAAGGTTCCCAGGGGACAGGTAACGAGACTGCCTACTTAGCAATAATCTATGCTTGGTAGCTGTAAGAAATACTGCTGAGAGCCCTAGCCTGTGGTAGCAGAGAGAGGATGGTACAACTGGAGACACTCCCAAGGACAGGCAATCTGACTGGCTGATGGCATGGGCAAGGCCAGGGCTGAGCTGCTGACGAACGTGGGTGAAGCTGCTTGTCTCCACACACTGGTGAAGAGGGCTGCAGAGTTGAACATGAGGCACACAGCTGTTACCAGTTTCTGATATGGCTCGGTTAGAGCCAGCACTGACCTTCACCTCTCTTCCTTTTCCACTGAAGCCCATGGTAGTAATACCGTGAAGAGCTTTCACATGAAGCATGACAGGTTGGTCCTCTGCTGTAGGAGAGAACCACCTTGATCTCCCCTGCAGGTCTTTCCCAAAAGGTCCTGTTGTCTGGTCCTCCTCCTGTCTCAGCCTGCCACAGTCAGCTGTTATTCCATCAGCAAGACTATTAGGTTCTCACACATAAAGCCGACTCCTCACCTCTGTTCTTGAAGATCCTGTCCTAGACTGCCATTCCATGTTCTAGATGACAATGTTTACTCCATTCAGAATCAGCTCAGGGGGCCCTTCATTTGGAACAGCCACCTCCAAGGACAGATAGATGCCTACCATACTCCTAACAACCATAATCCTATAATACACAATCTGTCACTCCATAAGAGACAGTCCTGGCAGAACTGATTGTGGGTCAAAAGAATAAAGCAGAAAAAAGAAAGTAGGAGGCATGATCTCAAAAGCCCGACCTCCAAAGAGTATAAGCCAAGGCTGCATTATCAGCTCATAGAGGCAAGCAGTATGCAGCCGTGGTAACCTCACCTCCCACCCTGACATCCCTCCACCCTGCCTCTCACTTACACTGATCAAAGATGACTTTCTCCTGGTGCTTGCTCTGCTGCAGAAGTTTTGCTGTATTCTGCAGCTTCTTTTCTTGTTCAAACAGTTTTTTGTGTAGTGTGGTGATTTCTGCCTTCATTTCTTCAATCTAAAGAAAAAAAGAAAAAGAATTAGAAAAAATACAATAACATAAAACAGCAGATTACACAGGAAGAACTAAAAATAAAATCAAAGGATGTTCAATCTCACTAACAAAACATCTGAATAAGCTAGATGCCCCTTTCTGGACATTACATTAGCAAACTGGACAGAATCCAGGGTGGAAGAAAACTGTCAGGACCATGGCAGGGCTTGGGACAATACTGGATGCAAGACTTACTGAATTATAAGTGCATGTATCCCTCTGACCTGGCAATTCTGCACCACAGCATCTATCCCCGAGAAAAATCACAGCAGCACACACACACACACACACACACACACACACACACACACACACACAC